TGTGACAATTTTGCAGAAAATGAAATACTTGGCACTGATTCTGTTGTTGGTAATATGCGCTTATCAAAGAGTGACTGGCGCACCGACAAATGAGACTTTGACTCCAACTGGTATTTAAGTGTTCACTTTGCATGACCAATTATAAACACGTGAAAGAAAAAGCGGTGTAGGCATTTATATAATAAATAATTTCAGAAGATGAAATTCATGAGTCTGGAAGTCAGATCGATTATTTAAGTCGGTTAATGACGATGATGGGACCATTCAAAGAATCATTTTTGGGCTTTATTAAAGGAACGAATGTGACGAATGAGGATTTGCTGAATTACAGAAGGTAATTTTTACAAGACAGTCTGAACTATTATTTCTGTTCCATATAAGAAAATAAAACGTGAATTAAGCAAACAACTTCACTGAGTAACATTTTGTATTTGCTGAAGGGTGAACACATTTTTCAATAAAGAAGCAACTGATGTTTTGAAAGAACGATTCAAAATTGTTCGCTTTCGTAACGGAAAATTTGAATCGATCAATCAACGAAATGTTTATCTCAAATATATACGTTCGACAGACACTTCAACTAACGTAGATTATCTCAATGGAATCTATCTACACAACACGACAAAATTTAAAGTGATACAGTTTGACAAACATTTCTTCGAGCTTAAGCTATCATGCGTTTCTGTCACCAAAACCTTAATATTTCATTCCTTATCCATTTTTGGAAATTTTCGCTGCTGATCAAATTGCTCACATCACTGTAATGTCAAGTTTATACACTTATTCAGCACAGACGAAAAACAGTTAAAAAAGCATGTTTATAGTTTTTTAGTTGAACTTTTTGTATTTAATTTTCGTTGCGCTATGAAATTTTGCCTTTAAGACTCAGTGGACACCGCAAATAGGCATTATGGTTGAAGAAAATTTGATAAGATCTACGGATTCAGATTCATCTCACTGTTGGATTATTAATAATGCCCATGAGACCTTTCGTCAATTTATTGAACACGCAATCGATGGTTTGGTTTTTTGTTTGTATAAAAATTATTTCTCACACTTATGATAAGTTTATAGGATTTGTGAACGTAAAATTATCAATTAAAATCTTTCAAGAATTTTTTTTGCTACTGAGGCCTTTGAAGGGATGCCAGAGGCAAATGGCGTGCTTATACCTAAAATGTTTGGAACTTACGTCGACCACATTTCCATCACGGAAAAATGGTTTGTCTTTATGATCAAATTAGTTTGAATTTGAATTTTGTGTTTGATATATGCTGTATCGAAACTCATTACCTGAAGAAAAAGAAAAAATTATTGTTTTAAATTGTGTTTAAGTGTCAAATTTTACCTTCTCACAGTATTGAATGGCCTTGAAACTGCCTAATTCGATTTTGAAAACTAATTTATACACTGAAAGCCGCTCATACTTGAAGCCACAAATTGTTTTCACACACATACTTATTTCAGGAGAAATGTGTATGCGTTTGAGCCTCCCGTAAAAATATTTCAGGTAAGCTGTTATATTTCATTATTATCAACTTTGAATTTTAATTTGAATTACTATTGATCGGCGATTAAGAATCCTACTTGATTAGCAGGGAATTGATTTATTACGTTTATGTAAAACATGCCAATTTTCAGCCTGATGTGAATTTCATCCTAATGATAAATTATGGAGCACCTATTGGTGTAATTTCTATGATACACGATATTTTGAACAATATGTGCACTTTGAAATATATAAAAATATTTCATATTTCATATAATGTTCACGATGATTACAGGTCTG